CGTAACGCAATCTATGATGATTCGAACACAGTATATGATCACTGTTTTTAATAGAAAATGCTCCTTTGTCACGGATATGTTAAAAAAAAGCCTCGGACTTATGTGAAAACGTAACATACCGCTGTTTGCTAGGCAACTCAAACAATGACTATGTTAAACTTTTAATCAGTTGTGGTCGTTGCTTTGCTAGATACTACATCTAGAGAACATTATAAATCAGTTTAACTAAAATGCTGAAATACGATTGGTCGTTTGTGGATGTATGTTTATATAGTACACCCATATAATATTTTTTTGTATTTCTGTGATAATTCTCTCGTAAAGCAATGGCATTATGAAAATAGATTGAAATATAACCAATTCAAAATTTTATTAGTTTATACGACAGAAAGTGCGATCTTAGAGGTATAGGCAGTGGGTTGATTTATTAATTATAAAAAAAAAATTCGAAGTAAATACGTTAACAATTAGAACTTCTATTACTTTGATGCCTGTCAATATGTCGATAGCTCACGCGTCGTGTGGGACGTTAACCTGCCTAAATATTCGAACTGAAGATCTTAATAATTAGCATGAAGGGAAACATCTTTTTCTAAAAATATTAGAAATACGTGTATTTACACCGGTATTTTTCAAGTACTCCGAAAGTAAACGTTTTAACGACCTTTGTCCAATGATCAATACGTTTCCGCATCATTTGTCCGCGTATTACAATACCGTCTAGATAACTCTAGTGATCTATATTTCAGCTAGCGCTAGATCCATCATTTGTTGCTGAAATGTTTTACAGCAAGAGGTATCCAACTTTATTAGATATTGATTGGTAGATTTTGTATTTGTTCTCCGACATTATGGATATTCTTATGTATCTAGCAATTTTTATTTTGTATTTATATATTTATAAGAGTTTTACTTATCTTCCAAGCAGATACGTCTTAAAAACTACACACTAATAGTTATGAAACGTTATTCCATCTTCCAGTGATGCTAATAACTATGGGACCATCGAGTAAGAACTTTAGATTTATCAAAGAGGAATGACACATTACGAGTGCATGAAACACAAGAAAAATGTGTGATGAAATTAAGCTCTCACCGACCATTGTCTAGAGTGCCCCCTTCGAAGACGCTTCTGATCATATTGTTTTTTGATGAACTCTACTGATGTACGCTATCTGCTACTTGAATGGAGCAGTACCAATTAAATATTCTTTCAAATTATACTCATTAATGGATAAAACGATTCAAAACTAAAACGTTTCCCTTAAAGCTTCTCCCCAAAAAAGCAAAGAAGAGGCGAATTGCATAATACTACAAAGAATAGTCGTATGAAAAGGTAAGGCCAAATTATTCAATCATAGGTAATTAAAGTGCCTTAATTTGAATCCTTTTGTATAGGCCGTAAAGCTGCTGAAATGTTTGAAATACTTTACCCGCGGTACATAACGGTAACACAATAAAGAAAGCACGGTAATAGATTACGAAAAGAAAATATGCTAGTTCCAGTCTAAACGGATTTTTCAGTGTCAACAACTATTATAAATGCTAATGCTCGTACTACGTTCACAGAGTGCACCAGAAAAAAACCTTAATAAGCCTCGTTGTATTCATTACGTTAATTAAGCTACCAAATGATTTAGTTGCGAGCGTTTTGAGAGAATTAAACGTTCCCCAAAATCTGAAAGAGGGTCAAAGCAGTACTTATCCCGGAAGGGTGTGTTTCTCGCAGAATCATGTGTACTCTGGGAAGCCTTTCTAGTAAAATGGAATCTATCAAAAAAAAAACTAATTCAGTATTTTGCTGAAAAGTACGCTTCTATATTACCTATCCAGTGTGGTTTCAGAAAACACCGCAGTTACTAACAGCAATAAATCGTGATATTACAGAGGTAAATGTCATAAAAGTTTTCGCATGCAAAACTAGGGATTTGTTCTTCGCTGGTTCACTCAGCATCAAAAACCAGTCTTCTCACCTCTCGTGGAAAAGCATTTTGAAATCTCTTGATAGAAAGAGGGACCGTATCTACTCAAAGCTGTCTCTAAAAAATGTTCAGCTCCATTCTTCCAAACCGAAAAAGTAAGCCTTTCGATAACTGCAAGGGCACCTCAGGACTCAATTTTAGGCCCGTCATTAAACAACTTTGCCTATGACGATGTTCTTCGGCATAGAGATTCTCTAGTAGCTGTGGATTTGATTACGTATGCCGATGACCATAACGAAGAAAAAGGGCGGACCTGAAATATTGGGAACTAACGAAGTTTTATCAAAAATTTATGGATGACAGAATATGGTCTGACACAGGTTTCAGCCAGGAGCAAAGGGCTTTTACCGGTCAGCAAAGAGAAGTATAAATCGATTAGGCTTTCCTTGAACGGTAGAGTAATTAAAATGGAAAAAATGATTATATACATCAGGGTACACTTAGAAAGGACAATGAATGGTACATCTTAGAACCGACAAACAAAGGCCTCCAAAATGACGGGGTAACTTGCTAGGATGGTGCCAAACATATGTCCCAACGGAAGAAAAATTCTTTATGTCGATCACCAAATTTACGACTGGGGTTCCCAGCTGGTATGTGTCAACGTAGATCCAGGCGGAAAATAGGGCGCTAACGTATTCTTGCATTGAATCGATGGGACCGAAATCAACAATGGCCAATAATGTGGTAGCTGGGAAGAAAACACTGCGCAGAAAAAAAGACAACCGAGGTTCAAATGACCTAAGATGTGTTAAAGGTATGCAGCCTGATAAATACGTAGACGAGAGTGCACCATATACTCCTTCAGCGTCGGATAAGTTGAAAGAGCAGAAAATAAAGTCCTGCACAAAACTAGCGCGACCGGCAGGGAGCGATCGGCCGAGACGAAATTAACAAATCAACAAGCCCCTTTTGTATACCTGCCAACTTCGGTTTAAAGTAATCATGCAATTAGTCCGGAATTAACACTTAAGCACACGAGGTTTAGAATTCAGTGGACGGATGTCCCACAATGCGGATACCTCGGCGGTGAAATACGCTTTGTGCAATGTATAACCCTTTAACCTCCTTAAAAAACCGAGCAATTTAAACGTGTAAAACAAAACGAAATCAAATTTGTGCACGTCCACGTCATTTTGTGTGTATTAAAAACAAGGTAGCACGAATGTGTTTGCTGATAATGGGTTAGCAGACAATTTTTTAGAACACTACCGTGTAACACATTGGCACAACCAGTAATTGTAAAGGTTGGACTAAATATTTTAGGTCTGATTTTTGACTACCGTTCCCCTTGTAAAATTTGCTTCTTCTACACAAACGCCTTAGGTTGACGGGCCAATTCGCACCCTGAGCGAATGGCAGTAGCGAATCGGGTTTACTGACGCTCGTGGGTAAAGAAAGTTTCGTCTGGATTAAGACACCTGCGAATTAAACGTGGGACAAATGTACAGATATGGTGGTGTAGGCCGATCCCAGAGGTGAAGTCGAAGACAAGTCGGATTTCGTTCTGGTATATCAACGGCAAGGGTATAAAGCTGGCTTTGATTCCCCGTTTGTTCTATAAAAAGGAAGGGAAAATGGATAGAATTTTCTTAACCCAACTCTTGTTGTGTAGTAAAAATAACAGTTTGACCTCATTAGGAAAACTAATGGTAAAACTCAACTTTTGCTTATTGTTAGAAATGGTGAAAAAAAACTATAAGCGCAAAAATGTACTTGGATCCACTGTTATAATAACTTAAATCGTCTTCTAACAAAAAATATTCACAAGCTTTCAAAAACTAAATTTTCGAGTCAACAGAACGAGATATTATGAAAGCACAAAATATCTAATGGGTATTAAATGAAATTAAACATTTTGTTATTAACATTTGATTTGTAGCGATATTGCATTTACTAGACGTGGTGACAAACTTTAACTATGATTCGTTTGTAAAGTAGCAACCTATCACCACTAAGACTTTCTACTCAACCTTTTCTTAGATCTGAATGGCGCAGAACGCCACCGTCATATTCATTGACTCGTTTTTCTGTTGTCTCTAAATTGCACACCGGTGGTCATAAATAACCATATTTACGACTATAGACTAATATGTCAACTAATCTCTTATTCACTGAATTCTTCATATATATGTATGTATATGAGTCCAATGGCTGAACCATTCGAATCACCTGAGGCAAAACACAACTTAAAGACAACAATATTGGCAACATATTCAAAATAATTTTACCGTTGCCTTTAATTATTTCATTTACGATAGATATTCATTCCTTTATTGTCCTTTATCACAGTTGTTATTAGAACAAGCTATATAATCAGTTTGTGAAACGTCTGACAGACGGAGCGGACATGAAATTTCAACGACAACGGTAAACGCATCGATTTGCTTTGTTTGTAAAATAAACAACAGCTAATGCCAGTTACATATCTATATTCATGGAGCTGCTAGCTGGATCCGATTAGAAAGCAGACAGACATCATAAAAACTTTGCGTTGTTTCCGGTCCCGCACACCCCTGCAATTTTACCAGGACAATCGAGCGCATAGGTCACAAAAAGGATAAGATCCCCAATTATTACCTCCAGCAGGGAGATACCTCTTGTAACTTTGTCCTTGAAATAATATATGCTATGTATAATTCAGGTTACTCTAATAATATTATCTCTAGAATAAAATACTTGTACTCACAGGGAAGCTAAAATAGTTAACAACTTGATATCTACAATGATTTTATTCTATTTTGTAAGGCCCATTGACCTTGTTATAGGTTCATTTAACACGTTCAGCTTATATTCTATAGTACAACCTGTGGAAATTCATGGTAGCTTAATTGACATACGTCTGATCCTAGTTATTGAGTATTAAAAAATAATTTCTTACAAAGTCCAGTTTCCGGATCTGAAGGATCAGTTGATAGCAGACTTAAGTTGTTCCTGTCGGATCTAACCCACTGCAACCACTGAGCATCTTGCATCCCGACGATATAAAGTAATCTATGCGCTCGTATGAACTAAAATGTACGAAACTCAAAACTGAGTAGAATTACAGTTAGAATATAGTTTTGTTTATTCACATATAGCTATACACAGTACGTTCTCCAGATCGCGATCCGACATTGGCTTCCCATCTGTTTTTATCGTTATTAATTTTTATTGGAAATATCAATTATACAACTTATTTATCTATATTACATAATATCATCAAGTGCGCACTTCATCTCATGTTGTTGTTGCTTTTCCATGATTGAGAAGTTGTATACATCTACTATACATACACTGTGTTCAGTTCATCGTCTATCGTCATCTGCTGGCTAAGAACAAACAAACTCCAATTCGAATGGTTCCACCACGGTGTCTTTGCAACGCCATTTCCAAAGGCATCCGAGCTAAATTATTCAGACGACGGAGCCGCTGCTCCGAGAATACACCGCACTATACGATTGCTACGTCGAATAAGCCGTCATAGCTCCAACCAACCATGCAGGCAATAGAATAGGCCAATTATTGTCAGTATTCACATAAAACAATCTATCAAAGTACAAGGACAGATCAGCAACTAAATCACACCTTCGTGGTTAGACTATGATTCAAAGGAGAGCCAGTAGAAGTCTTGCGCTCCAATATGCGTCGCATACATATGCATTGGAGAAAAGCTATTACGACACTAATTTTTCGTAGCCTTCAGATATTATGCACCATCTTTCGAATCGACACCTTCGATAAATAAAATTATGATAACATGCCAACATGACGAACATGTGTGCACTCATATTATAAGAATTAAATTATAAGAACCGTTTGTCCCTCAGTCAGGTATTATTAAGGTTCCCAATCGAGTAAACATTTAAAAAAATCCACCAGAGCACCGGTGCTGCATTGAATCTTCTCCTAGTAGTTCGTACCTTTGAGTACTAATCGAACTTTTGTAGTGAGAGCTTGGACAGTAACATTACCATTAAAACATACTGCCATTATATATTATTTTATATTATAACATACTGTCTATAACGTAAAACCTGTACAGAAGCGTACACTTGATACAGTCAATTATTAAAGCAGTTATTAAATCCTAGTGATGCAAGTCTCTTCGTATTAATTTGGCAGCAAGCGTCAACCCACTGTCTGGTCAGCTACGATCCTACCGCTCGTTAAAGCTTGACGCCTTTCTACGCCTTCCTGAACGATCTGATCTAACATGCGGGCTCTCCGTAGCGGGCAATGTTCTACTTTGTGTGCGCTATCCCCACCACCATTTTGGCACTCCGGACAGTTGTAGGTCCGCAGTCCTGGGCAGAGAACGACGCCGTTCTCGTCCTTGACATTATGACTGCGATAAATTCCGGAATCGGCCCCGCTTTCCTTACAAACGACGCAGAATTTGCCTCGGTTACGCGGGCGCCTGTTTGTAGGCCGACGAACGGTGTATTCGGAGGGTGGAGGCGGTGGAGTGGGCTCACCGATGTCGGTAGGTAAAGCTTCACCCGGATCAAGCCTTCTTCGAATTGGACGTGGAGCAAATGTAGGAGAAGCTGATGGTGTTAGCCCGCTCGTGTTGGTCAGTGTTGGGGACGCTGTAAGAGCCGAGTCGTATTCCGCTTCATCATTAATCCTGTCAAACGCAAAAAAAAGTAAGAAGGATCTGTTACAGTTCATGTAGCGTACTAATAATCAATGACTTACTGGTATAATTGATTATTGCTGAAAATAGTTATGCGGTAACGAATTGATTTTCCTTAGCTGTGCAGAGCATATTAAAGCAATGTACAGTAAAATACCGGTTCACCATTTTTTTTAATAATTAGTAAATAACTATGCACTCAAAACTCCACGGCATATGTCACTTTATCGGCGTTGCATCTGTGCATATTTCTGTATATGCTTCATTTGACTATGCAGAAAACAAAGATTACCACGTGAAGTCATAAACTAATGCACGTAACTTGAGTGAGTGCCTTTTCAACGTGCAACTAGACGCAAAAAACACTGTTGTGAGTTTGGATAAATTTAAAGACGCTGAACAATCGAGTAACCATTAACAGAAGCACTTTTTCCATATTTGACATTATACTGCGGGAATTTGGCCCCAGGAAAACAAATATTGGCATCTATATAAAGATTCACATGGTACTGAACAGCTTGTTTTTACTCTGCTGGCGTTAGTGATAATCGTCTCACCAAGGAGGTGTATAGCGAGTGTAACCCTCTGGAGTGAAGTCTGTCCATTGGCGAACGTAAGTGGACATCGCGCCGCGACTGTTGCCAAGGGTCGGCATACTGTTGTGCTTCGCGTGCATCGAATTCTCAGAAAAAGGCAGAAGGCTTCGTTTCTTCCACTGATGGTAGTGAGTTGGAAAACTCTGCATCGTAGCCACTTCAAAATGAGGAAACGGTCTTTGCCTGTAGCAGAAAAGAAAAATATATCCAACATTGAACTAGATCGATCTTTACCTATACTATGCAAAGTTAGAGTGCGCCAGATTGACTGGGCTGTGTGAAATGAAATACAAACTGATGCCACTGGTGCACTCATAAACATAACAATGTATACCACACAAACACAAATCAACTTTTCTATACAAATTAAGTAAGTGTTGGTTATTTTTCAAGTTAGTCAAGGTGTTTGTTTCTCAATCATTTAAGCAATCTCTATATTTTTTTTTAAATACGGCTCATAAAAATTAGAGTAATCTGAATATACCTCTGTTTTATCTGAATATATGTTTGTTTTAAACGTAACCATAGGACCTTTTATACGAGACCATTATTTATGGTACTGCTTTGTCAATTTGTACCTGTAGCAGGCGAGCTTGACGTACTGTTTATCGATGTACGATCTGAGTGTACTCGAATTTAAGAGATCAAAGGAGAAAAGCATTGATTAGAAGAGGTTGTACCATACAGATGTATTACTAAACGGTTTTCTGACTACTACCCTTATGTTAGATGGAAAAACTTATACATAATCATAATAGACACTAAATTAGTTGGTAAGAAGCAGGATCCCGAGAATTCAATACTAGGCTAAATTAGAATTAGGCTAAAGAGTGCACGCTATTGCTTTTTCTTATCAACACATTCAAACAATTTCATTTTCAATATATCATGATGGCAATGCGGAAGCATATTAGTTCATCTATGTTGTCTCCAGAAAATCCCGTGACTTCCGCATTTCTGGTCGCGACGAGGTCATTTTAGGAAATATAACAGCGAGATGAAAAGTTTTATAAAAACACATACGCTTGCATCCGAAGAAAAACGCTTTTCTATTAATCGTTATATTCGTGGCTCAGTTTATCGTGACACTCCACACTCTCTCTGTACTCCCACTTCGAACGGGTTCTGAGATCGCAATCACACACATACGCAAACTGCCTTTGCTTAGATGTCAAAGACAAAATATTGACTAAAGTACACTCAGGCACGTCAGTCACATTAGATAAGCACGACGATCCAGTGGCACGACCGCCTCCGCTTCTTATACGAGAGCAACTTCACCACTTGGCAATCCACGCAACGCAAATGACAGAATATGAAGCACCACGCAGTGAGTACGTAGGTATCGTACATCTAAATGTCAACTGTGATTAACAATTACGAATCGAATCAACCATTTATTGTATAAAATCCAACTGTAAATATGTAATCAAGTTGCTCGCAGTGTATATATGTGTATGTTCCTGATTTCAATAGTAGAACCACAAGGAACTCTAGACAAGGAAAATTAATGCGAACCTATCCAGGCATTAGAATCAAAACAAGATGCACGCTCTAAAACTCGTACCATGCCTGCGGTCAGAGACAACCAGGATGACGAGAAGAAAGTACTGACGATTTATTTTCCTTTTATATTAGAACTCCACGCTGGCTCACTTTTTCGATGTCATGTATCGCTATTTAATTTATGTTATTAAAAGCCAGGTTAAGCAACTTTCGACGAAATCAAAGCCATTTCTAATCGCGCCTCACACGCATGTCACCAGAACTAGATAAAAATTTCCATTTATATACCAGCCACGTAGATGTACATTATTCGCACCCAACCTATGGACCGTGAGTGGTCAATTTAATTTAAAACAAATTAATTACTGTAATTCTAAAATCTATTCCACTGATTTACAGAGCTTTATCTGGTCAGGAATATCTATACTATTATCAGTTTTTTTGTACTATATACAGTTCGGCTATTTTCTTTGTGAGGACAAATTCCTATTTCACCGTATAGCAGCAAGGGCTTATTTAACTAGCAATTTAACCGGGGTGAGATTTGCTGGATCTAATTCCGTTTTCTCAACATACCTATGAAATGGCGTAGCAACCATACACCATTAGCTATTGATTCAATCTTTCTTGCTTTCGCACGCATCATTTCCGGTCCTTAATTACCGTGAGATTCAATACTTGTCAACGTTCTTTGTTGACACTAAAATTCACACCATTTCATCTTCAATTTTGAATTAACGAAATATTAATCTCATGTTCTATCGCATTGTGACGACACGACCGGTGCAAATATACATAGTAGGAGATCATGGCCTCTAATTCGAGTTTTCCTAACTTGGTTAATTCTTGTAGTTTTGTAAAAAAAATACCGAGCCTTTTTTTTACTTAGACTCGTTATCAAGACCTAATGGAATTCCATTAAATAACGATTAAAAATCCGCAAGGTGTATTCAAAAATCTTAAGGAAGCGCTTTGCAAAAGCAATTGAAAGCCTCCAGTCATGCTCTTCCTGCATGCCATGGCCACATTCGTAAATGCGGTAACCGATTTCAGAAAGATAGCTCCAGCCATTCAGAGTGAGTGCATTCGACACCTTGGTTAGAAACCGAGATAAACTTTGCTAGTTCGAGCTGCGTCCAGCTACATAATGCTCTGGCATAAAACAGCACTGTAGGTGTGATTTCCTGTCAAGGTTTGGGAATGTATTGTCAGTACGTCAATCGAGACTGTGGCTCACTTATTCAAGAGAGAGTTACTGGTTCGTTTCTTTATATACACGTTTTCCTTATGACGGATTAGGTAGCGTGTTTGCCTGCTAAATATGAGGGATACGGGTGGTTAGGGTTCGAATACACACACACTTCGTTTAGTGGTGGGAACCAGCTGTCTGATGGAACGCCCAACGGCGGTACCGAACGTAAGGATCGAAATATTTAGGGGCATATCCAAGTATTGTGCCGGTAAGTACATTTTTAATAACTTTTCAAAATAAACAAGACAAAAGGATCAACAGTTATATTGCAGTTATTTCATGATTCAATAATGGTTGCAATGTCTGAAGTATATTCGTTATCGAAACGTTGTGCGAAGTGATTTGTGGTAGCTGTATATATTGTCCGCTCATAATACGGTGCGTATAGAATCCTACTGAGAATCTTCAATAAAGGGCAATATAAACTATACTTAGCTTTTGCTCAGCTGAAACCGTTTTTGTAAAAAAATGTATGATCTTGTGTATATACAAGTATACTAAATTTTTACCTTGACCTCAGGTTTCAAAGATGGTTACATGAAGTGGCAAAGAATAGAATTTTCGAGAACTACTCTATTTAATGTTATTTTACTCATGTCAAAAAGCTTTGCAAGAAACCAGGAATATTTTTCGCCCTTGCGGTGAAGATGCTGCAGCTAGGAACTCTAAATTTGCTTACCATTGTTGAACACACTCTTTGGCTACCCTTTTTTCGTGTGAACAAGTCTTTCAAATCACATGCTCGGTATAATATCAAACACATTTGCCAATAAGAAAAGGCACCCGAAATTTATGAATCTACATAGTAATCATACAAGCAGCTTTATTTTTTCGTCAACCCTAAAATTTGAATCAATGTAACCGCATGCATAGTTATCATGACAACGCCCTCAAAGGGACGCATATGATTTACCAAGACCACACTGTCTAATCAATTGAACAATTATTCTGCTAATAGTATTCGAAGCAATCTTACTTGAATATTAGAGGTTTAATGGAATGTATTCTTGAAACAAAATATTCCCTATATATATATATATATATATATATATATATATAAAGACAATTCCTAAACTTGAGAAATAAGAATTATCGTAAATCACGTTTTTTTTCTGTCTTTAGAATCCAAATTCCAGGTGTAAAATCTCTGATTCGACCAAAAATAATTGCAATAAGCTTCTAAACTTTTTACTCTTCTCCCTTTAAAACAGGTTCCATTAAAGTCGTTAAGGTACACTGGTTATCACGCTGAAATAACTGCTGTTAAGATTGATGTAGATAACAATAATTGTATAGAAATACAAGACATGATAGTGGCGGCGAGACAAAGTGATAAACGACAGCAAAATGGGTAGTGAAACTTTTTTTGGAAAGCTACGCAGACCACCTAATCTGGTCGCTTAACAGATACAACGGTATGCAAATCGTACTACAATAACCAGAGCCACAACAATACATATTTGCAACCAGGAATCTAAATCCTTTTTATATCAAATGGTGACGTAATTACGATCAATGTGTAGAAATTATGAGGCCATGACGCACGGTGTCGTTAGTCGGTGCTCTATCTTTTTTCAGAGATGAGCCGTATTCAGCAGAGGTCATTCAAATAGTCAACTGAACGAACGTTCCGAGACAAAAGTAATCACTCTTCAAACTCGCCTTCGTGAAGAAGTGTTCAAAAAAGACGCAGCAAAAGTCGATACAAGCGTACGATATATATGTATATACGGCCATATTGCATCGACTGAACACACCTATTCAAGAGTAGATCTATTAGACAACGCTGTCATCCTCCTCCACGCTACCAATCGCGAAGGTCATTGAGTTTAAGCGAGACGTTATCTTACGCGCACTATATTTCCCAAAGCTAGAACGTAGCGATCACCAGTTTTTGGCAAACGCAATTGGTAGCAATACTTGGCGATGAAGAAAACCTCAAAAACTGGCTGAACCAGTTGTGCAACACCAGATCTGAAAATCTTATATGGAAAAGGTAAATTGGTTGAGAGATGCGAGGAGGTGCTAGTGTTACAGTGAACACATATAAAATTGTTGCTAAAACCCTAGTCAGACGATGGGTTTTTTTTATTTCAGCAGAAAGTGGCATTGTTTTTCGGACAATCTAATGTATCATTTAAAACAGTCCGGTTAGAATTAGAACGATAAAAATCCTAGAATTATTAAAAATTTCACCAATTTTATAATACTAGATGAATGTGTACTCTTTATTCATTGATTTACCATATGATAAAACAGTGCATTCTACGACATACGGAAGAACTAAAATTCATATAATTTTCAAAGAAATTTTCTTAGCATCAGCAATCTGAATAAACGAAATGCATCTTCATTTGTAATAAGTCTTTCATCATTGGACCTTTATCATTTGATCAGTTTCTTCAGTGAGGCGATCATCTTTCCGACTCCGTCATGGATCAGGTGAAACTGGTTCGTCTCAAACATGAAAGCCGGTGTACTTACAACCTTTTAAAAAGACAAAACACACCACAGAGGACCACAATTAAGTTTAAAGTTACGTCTGATTTAAATTACCGAAGGTTATGTTTGCTAAGGACAGACACTTTTTTTTGGCCCCAGGTCTGCCTGTTCTCCACGAAAACATCGTCAAATATTCGTAACATTATATTAACTCGTTATATTACACGCAATTTGAGCGAATCTAGATGCAACAGTACAAAGAAACGAAAGCTTGGTACAGCTCGTTCATAAAATGATTCCCATTTTTGTTCTCTACGACAAATCTCAAAACTCGATCTATCAGCATTACAGCAATATTGATGAGGACCTTTTATTTGTAGACCTTGCAGATAAGATTGCAATAAGACAGCCATCCGGTTTTTCTGTAGTCCACTTATAGTTTGAGGGAATTTATTCTCATAGATTCTACGTACTGAAGTTTTATCGCGGTTATCTATTCTTAATTGTAGCGTATAATAATTATTATCTTGATCTATAGGTAATTGCATAGAGGGTATCAAGGAGCTTAATACTATACCTTATTCTGTTCATCGACGCAAACCTCATCGACGCGGCAGTTCGTATGTTTTGCCCCCCAAGATTCAGCTGCTTGCGCGGCACCACAGTATGGCCATTTGCCTGAGCCGTCGTCTATTACACAAAGCCCCAGAGAATAGAACGCGACAAATACGATTATACTGGATCGCTAACATATAAGATTTCCCGATATGATTTCACGTGTTCACATTGGTCCTTTAGGTTCTCATGTGGTTTTAGGGCGGCTTTGCAGAGGATTGTCTCAGCTTTTTTTGAAAGATACAATCATAATAAAAGGTCGTAATAAATAATACGATATGATCTGCACGTCGCCTAGACTTGCGGAGTTGACAAAATACAATCTTTATCTGATGAATGATATCCTTGTGTCACAAATCATAGAATAGGACTTATGAACTATAAAGCTAGTGACAATATGCCTATCTGATCGCTCTTAGCTGGTGCCAATCATAGCGGGTCTACTTGTTTCATTTATGTATAGCTATAAAAACAAACGATCGACTGTCAGACAGCACCTACACTAGTCGGTTTTGCGTTGTCGTGTGCGAGCTGAATATCAAATTAAAGAATGTCGGTTTAACTCTGTCATAAGGTTCATTAGATTTTAGGTAGTAGGATTTTTCCCAATAATCTGAATTTTGTAGAACTCTTTAAAATGAATAGCTTGTGAGCAATGTCCACCGTTAGTTTTTACAGCTGTTTAGTCACGCTTGTTGCGATCAATGCTTTTGTGACTCTTTCTTCAACCTCCATGGTAAAAGGCCTGCCTCACGTCGGATTATAAAATTAAGGCATGCAAAGGAATCAACTATTTGGAGGTCTTCTTCGTGCGTAAAACGGGTCGTTTTCGCCAAGCCTTACCTCCCTACTAAACTTTTTGGCTACTGTCTTACCCTTGTAAGCGTCCGTGATATAGCTGTTTAAGATTAGTAATATTTCATCAATCTTGACACATGAACGCAGGCCGGGAAGTGCCACTTAACGTAAATAGGTTCCAAGTTTGTGTTTAAGCTAAAAAAAGGCAGCTTGTCAACTGATGATAAATCCATAAGGTGAAGTAGAATAAGGTTTTTACTTACACCCTTTGCTAGCAAAAAGATTTTCAAATAATTTTTAGAGACACACAAAGAAAATATATTTTGAAAGCTCCGTCAAATTGAATGCATACCTTTATCCATCCCAAGAGTAATCTTTACTCCTGGGATAACTTTGGCAGCTAGCACAGGGGCGATACAGCAGAATGCAAGCGGTTTTCCGGCCGACTGGAAAGCCTTAATAGTTTTTTCGACGAGAGGATCCACAGAACAATTTGCCCCCTCCGTCGCAAATGTGCTTCTATGATGTTGTATCAGATAAAGTCAATCAACAATTGTATGTAAGCAATATAGAAAAAGATATTTAATGTGTACAGCGAACTGCGTAAAACTGCAGTAAGTGTACAATTTTAAAAATCATGCCACATTCATAGTTAAGTTCTGCAACGATAGTATTTGACGTAGAACTCAAAACACTTACCTAGAATCGTAGAATAAATATACGTGCAGTGCTCATTTAAGATATACTACTTAACCAGGTATATAGAATAAAAAAATAATCAACTCACAAGTTTTTCGCAACTCCAAATCCTCCAGGGAAGACGATAGCATCGACGTTTTGAGGTTTTAAATCTGACAAAGGCTGAATTTTGCCGCGTGCGATCCTTGCAGATTCCGCCAGGACATTTCTACCAAAGAAGAACGAAAAGGAGTTACGTGTGCCTCAGTGGAATATTGCGTTCAAAAGTCTAAACTTTTCTTAGTTATAAAACGAATGTCTCGGAGTTACATTAGGGTGACAATAATGGTTTCTACTTGCATATAATACAAATTGTACATTTGATCTTAGTACACTGAAAGTTGAAACAGAAAAGTCTAGAAGTCAACCTGAAAAAGCAAGTTAATACATCTCATATAGAAAAAGCGACCTTACCTTTGTTGGTCAGAAGGCTCTCCTTTAGAGTGATCGACGGTGTGCATTTGTGACTTGTCCGGTGCAAAGCAGATCGGCTCCAAACCCGCTCTCGTTAACTGTACGAGACATCTATAATCAAACAAAAAATACTGTAGGAAACCATATTTTACTCCATTTAGAACTATATCTATTAGGTTTCACCTGGAAAAAACTAGTATCACAGTGTAATAGCTTTACGTTGTTAAACAATGATCGATTTAGGTACTAACTAATAAACATAACGCATACAGCGAGTTCGTACCATCATAGATAGCACCGGGCTATCTATGATGGTACGAACGCCTAAGGGTGGATGCGAACAAATGCTCTTTATCGAAATTATCGATACAGTTCAGATAACAACTTCAAAATGAAACTTTGTCCTCGGAGCATGCTTCAATACACTATCCTTAGAGAGAAAAATGAGTTGTATTATAACGTAAAATGCAATCTTTTTAACAGTAAAAGAAAGAAAAGTATCGCCAGTTTAGGTCGTTATTTATGCTTCGCACTACCATGCGGAAATATATATAATATTTAAGTTTAATGTGCACGACACGACAAATATCGTGTGATACTCAACGAAGATTTCAGCAGTGGGCAGTACTTTTATAGTTTTGACTGGTTTCTGTATATCGTGACGTCAACATAGTTTTTCTCAAAGAGCTAAACATTCTGTGAAAAACCTAGCTCAGTCAGAATCTATTAGACCCCGTTTTGTACTGCCCTCTATCGTTCAATGACAAGTGTTTGGATTCTGCAAGTAAACATTGCATATATATCAGGCCTATGATCGTACTTCAATAAGTCAGTTTACTAAATGGCAGCTATAGGATTATTGGGATGTACATCTAAGCCTAGTGCCAGCAGAACTTTGTTAATCAGTCATTTATTTATGGCTTCGCCAAAATATTGTTAGTCATAATTTTTTAATACTCAATTCTTTTAGAAATATTCGTAAATTATCCTTGGCACACTATTACTTTCGTCTTGCTCTACAACATATACTGTATGAAATATCACATTCTATCAACGCGTCTCTGAACGCGTAGTCTTGACCAAAAACTTCGGTTTTGTCGAGATTCATGTGCAATAGTTTATGATAGTAAATGATTATAAACAACGGCTAGGAAATGGGATAACAACATCATTTCCAAAAACATTTGCAAATGGTTTGGCTTCTTAACGACTGTTTGAAAACAAGTTTACTAGCCTTCTTTCCAGATCAGAGTTTACGAGGACACGAAAATTTTAAAGGTTCAATGATATTCTACGTTCAACAGTATGTCTCCATCGGTGGGTCTTCACCGATAGGTCACCGACAAGGGTAAATGCCCTTACTTTAGGATATATTAACCTATTAGTCAGTTAATATTTATTGAGTTATCAAAGTTATATTTACGGAACTTCGACTGAATACTTACAAAATATGTTCGAAATAGCCCCTATAGGTAATTGGCTTTCAACAGGCTGATGAGATTAAGAAATTGCGGCTGTTACAAAAAACGTTTTCACATCCTCTAAAAACGATCAGATATAATTAGACTGCTGATATGTAGAGTAATCTGCAATAACCCACTTAAAATATCTAAAAAAAATAAGTGCTTTCATCATTGGTACCAACTTCTTTTGCTACAATTGTGCGGCGCCTTCCTGAAATTGATGGCAGTAATTTGACGATCATCATGAAAAATGCACGATACCCCCACGCATATTATAATTTGCATATAAAGAACACTGATTGCAGATTGCGTATCTACCCAGATAAGTTTAAGATTATTCGGGAGAAATCGATCATTTTTGCAGTTCTAATGGTTTCAAATTTCTGCCAGGTTCATCCATTATTTCTTATTCTTCCATTGCATCTTTTTTCATTGTACGTCTTACCTATCCAAACGATTTCTTTTCATTGTCAAAACTGGTGACACCATTTACCTGCCTTTATAATTTACTTAACGACAACTTACCCCCTGGAATTATGTAGAACAAACTGATTCGCTATGAATATTTGAACTCCAAGTCTTAATTGTAAGAAAAAGCGCAGAATAGTTGAAACCCACTTGTTGCACTAATACTTTTCTGCGGGACGAAACTTCTAATAATATCCTTGCACCCATTATAGTACATTCAGGTCGCTCATCAATATCGACTTATGTTTGGTTGAATCATAGGAAAAGCACTTGATTCTAACCGAATTTACAAATGATCAATCTTATATCTGAATTGCTAATGTCGAAAAACCAGATATTTTTTACTTATTACCATAACTGGCTTATATTGTAATGCTTCAAATCAGTCTATCAGAAAAGCTTGTACAGATTACCGAAATCCTCTCGTGAACTATCTAAACATGATATAACCTGATACCCAAAATAATAGAGTTAAAGCTTTCGAATGCTGACTATTGCTTCGAGTTCTCTATCGTTGAGTTTTTTTCCATTGGCCCAAATTTCGTGGCTGAAATAAGCATTCCAACTACGTAACAATATGTAAACAGCTCCCGCTTTAGCAAAGTAGCTCCCGCTCTAGTAAAATTCCATTAAATTGAGGCGAAATTGCATGCAACTTACGCCGATGCTTCGTGAATCTCGCTACCATCGTAGACTCCGGACCCAGACAGCACCTGTCAACGAGATATGACAAAATGCACAGACACACACCAACCGAATCTTGCTCATTAATTTTCCCCGAACTCTTTTCTATATCTGTCACTTTTTAAAGCTAAATAAAGTGTCCATAATGGTGTCTTCGACGGCCTTACGTACGATCTAACACGGGAATAATCATAGCCATGAAGATCGCGTAGCTAACAAATGAAAACATGAGCGAATGCAATACAGGTATATACACAAAACTCATTTATTTACGAATAATAATAATGTTTATACCAGCACAGCTACCGGCAAAATGTAGTTTGCTTTGTGTTGTAGCAGTAGCTCTTCATATTGGGCTTCATTTTCGCTTTGCTGGCAGAAACCAGCTTAGCCAAGACGTGAATGGGTGTGTGTGTGTGTATGTTAATATATATATATATATATATATATATATATATATATATTGGATATAAGTTTTAATGGTAGATACCTTTTTCGTATGACGGCGGTACGCATAGACGTCAATCGAAGGGCGCGCATCGAAAAAACGAAAGAGATCTTTGACTCGACGAGTCAAGAAGATACAACCATAGCTTGAACGTGTATGTGCTTCGAAAGTTGTATCTATTGATCGAATCAAGTTTAAGTACTTTCACTGGCATACGCGATTCTTAATGTAACTTAGAATAATTTATTAGCCATGCAGTTCTCGTCTGAATCAAGCCTCAAATCTTAATGTTCCGTTTATAATTAAATAATAAACTATTGGTGCTAATAACTGTGTTCAAATCATTAACGACTGCGCCACCTTCGAGTGACGTCGCTACGTACCAAATGCCATTGGATCCTGTAATATGGTCCAGCTTTTAATTTGGCAGGACCAATAACAATGTTATGCTTTTTTGCATTAAATTGCCGCGATCTCATTAGCGACAAACAATAGCATTGGTCGTGTGTAAACGTTATCTGCTGGTCAATTAAGGCCCGCGGGTCCAGGCAAGTTACACGGGTGCTGGAGCGAGGTCTTCTTGACGACCTGATGTTTTTCTATCTGATGGTATTCGGTCATCGGCCGATCTGCAACACCGCAAGTGCCGATTCCTACCCGGCCGGCGACGCTTTCGGGTGTAGCAAAAATACTCTTTTTCGTGACACCCTTTTTCTTGTGTTGGGCTTTCGCGCTGAAGTTCTGCCAGATTTTCTTGTCGGCCTCGCGCTGCTGCTCAATCTCCTTAAGGCGTTCCTTTTTTTTCATGGCCTTCTGCTTCTTGTACTCCTTCTGCGCTGCCACATGGGCTTTTTTTCCACCTTTCGTTGCATGCCCCCCGCTGTTACGCGGCTTTAGCTCGCTCATGTGTACAGTCTCGTTGTTCGGGTATTCTTCGAAATCGACAGTAACCAGTCCATCGCTGCTGCTTATAGCCACGACGGTTGCATCATAGTAATTTCCATCTTCGGCCCAGGGGGCACTTACACGATCCCCAACTTGCCAACGGCCCGTGGAGCCAGCGGACCCGACAATCCCTGACCCACATACGCCGCCACTGTCCTCTGCATGGGTCACCGACCGGAGATCACTATTGCGAGAGCTAGCGGAGAGACTTTTTGTTAAGCTTATAACTTCACAAAGGTCTTCACGCAGTTTACGCAAGTCAGGGTCATCTGGATTGGATGCAAGCGCAGCCTCCACCTGTTGCAGTTGTACATGGTAGGTCTCTAGCTGAGTCTGAAGATCTTCTTTGTCTGCCATTTTTTCTATTGACTATTCCACAGCAGCAATTCGTATATTGACACAACTAACAGGATCTTTGTACCTCAAGGCTGTGATAAATCGGAACTCTATGAGCTCCAGAAAAACGAGATCGTCGAACGTGACTTGTTAAAGCACTTCGATCACAAACATAAAATGTACTACGCGAGTTGAAAGACTCGTCCGTCGCCAAGTTAACGCCGGACCATTCACGCGCGTTTAAGAGTCAGGCTGATATAGTTTACATATATCAGAGAGAAGAAAACTACTGTGCTGTGGATTCCTACACCAATCACACAAATATGCCCTATTGCATGGGCAGTGGCCGTATTTATCGATCAATTAAAGTCCTTTTTTCCTTGACAATGTTATATGGTTCTACAATGATCTGAAGGCAAAAAGATGTCAGCTTCCAAACTTGACAGCCTCTAAAAGCGTCTAATACACAGAGATCACGGCCGAACAACACAGCCAAGGAAACGCAAGGTTTAGATGACACTGAATGAAGTGGTTGATTGATGTATTCGGTGGTTACGTACGTACCACGGCAACCTTGTTCGAAGCGAACCGGCGCGAAATATGCAGTCCACTGAGGACGATCTTCGAGCTGAGCATCGCAGATGTCGCTGAGTTATTGTGCGCAAGCCAAGAAATCAAACAACACCACAAACGATTTCTTCGCTTGATGCCTAAAAATCCAATCGGTTTAAGCACGACTGCAGTGCGGCAGCACCGCTCTGAACGACGCTTGACACCCAACCTCAACTCAACAGTCACTCGTAAATAATACTGGCTGCTCTGCTGCTTAAAGTTTTAACCTTAACTATATATATCTATAAACTCGCTAATGACGAGCGCGATCATCACGTAGCTGACGACAGGCCAGGAATTAACAACAACACAGACCACAACAAACACAAGCCCAAGGCTGAGTACAGTGACGAGATGGCGCCAGCCTCGCTGACCGGGCGTTTGGCCCACGTATAGGCTTTTGGTGTAAAGGCGGCAATTTTTAAAAGTGACGATCCATCAGAGAAATTCTCCAACAGCACGCTCCATGCTGCGCTCTTCGATTCCCTATCGCCTGGAAAATAGCTATTCGCTGCTATCACGATGGAAAGAGATCGCCCGCTTGGAGAGGCTGGCTTGAATTGCGCTTCCTGTTGCAGTAAAACAATGACACCTGCCTTATACAACAAGAGGTTCGCAAACTATTAAAGCAGAAATGCGTGGGGGATAGTGTGGTTGGATGTGTAAAAACCGGTGTCCTGTCTGTCTGTCACTGTGTGTGTATCTATGTACTTCGTTGTTCCGTGAATAGTAGCTGAAGAGCTACCTGCAAGGTACGCCCCAGTCGCCCCTAACCAATCATCCCTTTCCCTTATTGCTCTTTCTCCAGATGTTCGCATGTTTCTATCGCCACCGCCGCTATCACTGCTGTCGCTGACACTGCTCCTGTTGCGGGGCCGCCACTGCAAGTGCAACTAGAACCAGCCGTCAGCTGGTGTGTAGATTGTGCGGTTGCCTTAACGCATGGGCCACCAGTTTTATACAGGAGGATAGATAGGGGGCTGTATACGAGTTATTGACAATTGCTGCCGCGGAAGCCGCAGGCACTATGTGTATTGGCCAATGTCTCTTAGTGAGAAAATTTGTCACGAATTTCAAGAGCCCTCCGAGAAAAAACTAGGTGACAGCGAACAAAATTTTGTGTACGTTTGTTGCCGATCGGTGTGAGCGAAGTGGCAAATAATGCTGAACGATTGTTTTTCAATAATATGTGTCACAATTATGCGCGTGTAAATGTTTAATAACGACTTTATCTTCGGCTTTGAGTGTAATTCACTATTCACCCTATTGTAGCGATAACTGTCATTCTAGTTCCAGCGAACAGGGGTGAGTGTGCGTGTGTGTGTGTGAGTGTGTGTGAGTCCGAGGGGCACCTGATTTGACTTCCGCCGATGTCGGATACGGCTACGGATGAGGGTTCCACCCCAACGGTGGTGAAAGTCAGCCCCCGGCTTATCCCTGGAATACTTAATCCTGGCAATAAGGATGCTCTCGATTGGTGAGTTAGTCAATTAGTCCGTCGTACAGCAACGTTGCATAGTGAAAACATCGAGCCTGCCTTGATCGTGTAGTAAGTAGATAAGACGCGAAAAAAAATGTTTAGGGCAATAATGTGGGATGGTAACTTTACATATTAGAGAATATTCAACGTTTAATTTATGGACCACCATTACTACATCAATGAACTTCGCAGTGATTTGATGAAATTACTTTTACCGTATTTATAGGTAGTAAGTCCGTATAAGAACTTTGCACGCAAATAACATGAACGTCGACTAATTAACGTGCAATCAATCGTTCAGTGCTTACTATATGCCGTTTCAGCTGCGTAAATATTGTCCCGATTGCTTTAGATTTAGGCATATTCGTTACGTGACATATTTATATTTACTGCATTTTACCTCATAAGAAGTAGTAAAAGTGCTAATCACGTAGTAGAAACATGCAAAGAATATCAATGCAGTAGTGTAATAGGTAATAGACAAGATGGGAAGGAACATTATGTGTAAAATAACCTACTTTTGATATAAACGCATGCAATAAATGTTTGCATACGGACTATACGTTGTAAGCCTCAAAAAGAATCGCCATTAAACCGGATCAGATCTACTTCTTCTAGAGTAACTTCTCTTCGCTAGTACGTACAACGATAAGTATCACGCACGCAAGTGCTTGAACCACTAGTGTCTGAAGTCAGCTCCCCTCGACTGGCCAGGAAGTAATTAGCATGTCTAAGATGACCTTCACATGAGCGAATCAGTTATTCCAGACCATGTATAAAGTATTTTTTTTTTAATTCACGTCGTTTGTCCTACATATTTCTATCCCATTTATTAGATTCTAACAGGGCAATTCTAGGAGCTATTAGCTGGGATTTTTTCGGGTGGAGGTGATGAGCGTTACGGATCCTTGTACGTAACATAGAAAGAGACCAGCCACAGAAAGATTAGCTAAAGGAACTCACTAAGATGGCGCTTTGGAGTGGGACAGGATAATGAGCGTAGATGAGATGCTCATGGTGAACGATTTTCGAACTGTAGGCTCTGATAGATATTGTGTTTTTTTAGTAGAATGTTGGTCGGAATACAAACAGGAGTTTCAGAGAAAGGCTGCTAGATATCATGTGCTAACCGAGAGAAATGTACAATACGGCTGCTGATATTCTACTAATTGTGTTAAAGTACATAAAACAAGTTCGAATAACGAGTATAAACTTTACCTTTGAAAACCTGGTTCATATATAAAGGGTCAAGTCTTTGTAAACGATTAACGTGCTTTTCACTTTTAAAATTATGGCTGAAAATATCGTAATAAGCTCAACAAAAGAAATACATTTTTAATTTTATACTGGTGCATGTATGACTGTTATGTACAGCGTAAATAATAATGATAGTAACTGTATAGAAAGGATTAAACCTCTGGCTAAAAAAAAGTCAGATGCCTTTTGTCAAGCCCGCCAAAGTGTGTATACCACAGGCAGATGTGATCAAATAAAGAATTATTTATTTCGTTGAGTATTCTCTAATTGAATGTTTACGTACATCTTATTTGTATTTACCTTGGTTGTTTTTAGGGGGCCGCAGGGTCTGGTCGCATATGGAAGCCAAAGTAACATTGTCGTTTTAGATTCCCGTAGTGTGACCACCGTCCAATGTCTTCAGGGAGGAGGCAGGCATGATGTCACCCGAATCCGATGGTCCCGTCATCTGCACTACCATGACAAAGTAAGGGATTTATGATTGAAGCACGCTATTATGACAGGCTAAACCGATGAACTATTAATAGCTTCTGTTACTAATTATATATTTTTCCCTAAGGTGTTTTTCTTTCTACGTTGTGCTTAGTGCTAATTCAAATGTAACAAACGTTGGCAAAATGCTTTTATCATTTGTATTGTTGTTGTATTGTGACTTCTGGAACAATGTATATCTAGAAAATTTATTATGTATTCATAATAAATCTTTGGGTTTGTTGTACTGCGGCGTATAGGCGCGACCATATACATTAAGATTGGCCGCGGCAGATAGTGCCGGTGTAGTAACTGTTTGGAACGTGGCTACGGGAACGATCAAAGCCGAACTTGCTCAACCTGGCCATAAGACAGTCATTGGTAAGATATAATGATAATGCCGAGCGATCTTTTAATCATCTTTGTGACGTACGCTTAAAACATTTCAATATTCAGTTGATCTGCTATTAAAATAGAATCATACTCCCTTGAGGCTGGAGGCTGTTTAATAAAGCCAAAATATACTTACCAAATGGGCTTTCCGTCGTGCTTCTGAATAATTGACAGTAGTACGTGAGATTTCTGTAACGAAGATGTGCCTCTGCAGTTGGCTGACATGCTGTAATTTTTGTGTTAATAATAAATGCATTGTATTGTCCCGCGGCAAGAACTGAGAAGATACTTTTTGACTTTTTTTTTTTTGTTTAAGATATGCATTGGATGGCATATAATGACGCATCCTACCCATTGCTGCTGGTCCTTTACGAACACTCATACCTTGTTCTGTGGGACACTGAACGTGAACTTCTGGTTTGGAAGAAAGATTTCCTTCGAGAAGCAGGTGGAGAAAAGTTCACAGCATTTTCCGTCGACCCCTTTTCGGAAGCTTCCATTGCCTGTGAGTTGGCTTTATGTTAAGCTGGTGACGAGCAAAGATCCAGATGTCGGTAAAACTACGTTACTGAACGAGCCAAAAAAGATCGAAGAGAAAATGACTCATGGTAAAATCAGCTTGCGAGAAAGTCCTGTCACAGTCAAGCTCCCTTGCTTTCTTTCTCTTTTTGACGAGTCATTAGTTTTAAGAAAGTACCGTTTGGACGTTTCCAGTATTTCCCTTAATTAGCATTTTGCTATGGGGTACTTGAGATGTTGTTGTTTTATGTTTGCTTATTAATGCTCAAGGAAAGAGGATTAGCGTATATTTGTAAAAGTACAAGCTGTATACTATTATAATCTGTGTAGACTGGTTTTGCTTAACCATAATCGAGCATACATTTATTTAACTAAGAAACAGAGGTCTATCGAAAAAAAGTTGATTCTTTAAAACTCAGTTAATTCTTGTTGGATTGATATTAACACTATATTATGCGAAACGCGTGCTTCTATATTTGTCTGCTCTGGTTCTTTCCATAGTGGTAACGTTGGAGCACTTATGGTTGGTGGACGATCTCAATCCGGCCAGGGCACCTCAAGCTCCCTTACGAAGGCTTGATGTGAACCTTCCGCATGCACCAGGAGGTGGGACGAACAGTCAGGCTCAGACACCTACTGAAAACCCCAGGAGAAGCAGATTGCTCAGTGGTAAGTCTCTGCTACTTAGACAACTTCACGTGGTATTCCGTAAGTACTGTAAGTACGTGGTTCAAATAAACTGCACACCGGAATCGCTAATAAATACCTAGGTCTAAGATTTTTGCCAAGTGCCATTTTATTTTATTTGTTTATTCATCCAAATATGGCTTGTGTAGTGAGTACTATACGCTGGGTAAACCTATCTACTACACAAGTGATTGGTTGTTTAACTGTAGAACATATACTACGTTTGAATTAAGTTTGATTCAATACACAGATAGGACACATATATTGAGGCTCCTAATGTAGAATCACGTAAACGTACTTTTGGCTTAAAGCTTTTATTCCAATTCTTGTATAACGTGTATACAAAATATTAATCCTACGCTCAATTGTTCAATGTCGTATCCCGGTGTCCACCTATATATAGGTGTTCAGGCAATGTTTCAGGGAGCGAATTCATCACAAGCTAATGCTGGCACAACGGTCTCAGGGTCCCACAGTCACCATGGAAGTGGAGCTAGTGGCAGTGGGGCTGGCGGTGATCAGCCTTCAAGCGAAATGGACCTTATGCCGGGAGGGTATGGCAACCTCACCGATTGTCAAGCCGTATTGCACGATCCCGCCCATAGGTACCAACTAGTGCTCGTTTTTCCAAGGCATGTCGTCGTTGTAGACTTTGTTATACAGCAGGTAGGTGCTGGATAATAGTAAAAAAATAGCCTGTTAGCCTTTTCTTTTTCTATAAATATATGCGTAGAGAATTTCTATAGTATTAGAGAATAGTAATTGCCGTCTTGATGCTCTTGCAAGTCACACCTGATTAATTCATTAAGGCGCACTGACGAACAGTTAAATAAAATAGATTTTAGATACCTATACTTAGTGTTGCGACGGATTAATCAGGTTATACGGAGTCTGTAGACGAACTTCGATAGACAAATGTAAAACTACGTATGAATTCTTCAGCGGGACGCGCGCGTAGTTTCTGTTAAGATTTTCATATTTCGTTTGCGGAGCTACCTGTTTTATCCTTGTTAGCACAGAAGCTCAGGAACCTGGTCTCAATATACTCTAATTATCAATTACCGAAAAACAAAAACATATATTTTTGTATATAATGTATATATATAATTAAATCTGATGTTCCATGATCTAACGTTTACAGGTTATAGGAACGGCGGTTGTTGAACGGAGTTTGGCGGGCCTATTCGCTGTTCGCATTTGTCGACTCACGGGTCGTTTGGTGTGCCTTCATGATTCGGGTGTGATAACTGTGCGACAGCGAAAACCGTTTACACTTCCACAGGGGGTCGACGATTCTAAATCACAACTAGGCAGCTCTGGTCAGTTAAAATAACTGCTAGCAGATCTTTTTCGTGTAGCTATTTTGAAATGCCTACTTTACGGCAGTGTATAGTACTCAAAATACACGTTGGTTTCTACCGATATGTTTATTTCCCTACTGTAATTCAAGATAACCGATATAGCGCTTTGTTTGTGACACAAACCGATAAAGCTGGTTTGGCTTGGCATTATAAAATAGACTTCTGTAAATAGAGTTCCCCATTCACAACATTGCATAATACGTAACTTCACTTATCATAGCTGGTAACGTGTAGCAATACATGCGGATCAACGGCTGAGATATGAAATGCTTGTAGGTGGCTCTGATGGATCTCGGTTATGTGGCGAATCAGATAGCAGCGGTACTATTTCTCTTCTTACCCCATCGTGGCTTCATCAGTCTGCTCGAGCAGCGCAATTTGATGTCCACTACGATACGTTAACTACATCAGATCCGTATCGAATGGTTACAAGAAATTCGCGCATTGTTGCTTTTGCGCTCTGCCCAACTCAGCAGGTACGTTTTGCAATTTCATCATAAACATTCGTAGCAAGTTGTTTCTTCATTGAGTTAACATCTCACGTTTGTTTTACGCAAATTGGTATTGCTTGATCGAGAATTTGACATCTTGTTTTAGCTTTTAGATATTTCACAGAAATTTGCAGTTTACTAAAATTATTAAATCGTTTTTTGTTTCCACATTAGACCGATTCTAATGACGATAGAAAAATCTTGTGGGGCGAAAGCCTTCGAGCGGCAATAGTACTACAGGACGGTAGGACACTTTTCTACAAGATGCTGCCGCCTGCCAAGGATTCCAAATTAGTGCGTATTCTTAAAATCTGTTTTTTATAGATTGACATAACTACCAATTGTATAGTCACAGTTCCTCAGCCGACGTCATACGATGCTTATGTTGTGAGGATATGCTTGATACCTATCGAACAATTGCATGTTTTGAAGAGCTGATTTTGCTTATTATGTCTGCAATGTGGTGATCAAAAAAAAACGCTACCTTCGCAGGACGTGAGGAGCATTCGAAGCAATGAATGTTAATTAATGTTTTTCTCTTAATCGATATGCTCGCTTCATATTTTACAAATAGTGGTCATACGCACTGCACTGTTCAATGAGGTCAACGAATTTCAGGGTAAACGACGGTTGGTGCTCACGGCCGCCTTGGAGACGCTTTCAACGTTGCCACATTGTATGAAGATGTGCCCACCTGTCACATTTAAAAACTGGAAGACTTACCGTCCGCTTCTGGCTTGCGCTGTCGGTACGGGGAACGTACAGGTAATTCTCTAAATCTCCTAGTAGCTTCTCGACGGCAAAACGGGGTTTCAAATTTATGATAAAAAAAAGGATCGGTCGTAATTGAGGCGAGAAGGTTAGCTGATGTCAGAAAATCGTTTATTGGAGACAGAATCTCAAAGTCGCAGAAAGTAGAGAAGTGGAAAAAGTAGAAAGTAGAACATTAATGCATTTCTAAAACAAACATTTACATTTTTGTGTATAAGCTTTTTCTACGGAAGCTGTGGGACGCTTGTGAACTTGATGTACCCCAAAGGTTTTTATCATGTATTCATCATTTCTGACACATGCGTTTTGACGTTAGCGATTCCATTAATATTCATTATATCCAACTAGGTCTTAAACGTTGCAACTGGAGCCGTCGAACGTAATATCTGCGTTCACACAACAGCTGTTAGGGGTATTGAGTGGACCGGGCTCACCAGTTTTCTATCATTTGCTAACGCGACGCTACAGGTGAAGAAATGATTTTTTTGTTTGCTATTTTTCAACATCGGTGTCTTTCTGATACTTGCAGATTAACATCATCATAGCAGTTGCGACTTTTACTTTAGCGCACACTAACAATGTTCGATTACATAGGGCAAATAATTAATAAAAATAATTTACTTTTGTGTACGTAGAATGCATATATATATATATATATATATATATATATGCAGGCTAGTGGCTATGTCAGAGGGAAACATAATCTACTATCAAAGTAATCTGGGCTGCCCTTAACTAACGGTTAGTATGATCGTCGAAGATACCTAGTAGATTGCTATATGGATATTGTGATTATAGTAACGAATTTTTTTATTCTCGTTGCCATCGTTGTCGTTGCAATAAAGGTGCAGTCAACGCAAAACAGCAACATAAAGAATGAACTAAATTTGACTGAAGTTACCTCAGGGCGAGTTCGACAGATTCGATCAGATCGAGCGGACGAGAAACCGATAGAGCTTGTGGCGGTCTCCAAATACGGGTGCGTGGTGAAAATCACTTGGAAAATACTAAGCTTTAAACAGACTTATGCAGCGCCTTATAATAACAGCGTATCTCGTGCACAACATGCACGAACGACCTTTTTTTCGAGACGCAAGCAAAACATATGATGGTTCTCAAACGTTTGTATTTAACTAATCGACCCAATTAAATAAGCTTTGGCCTAAAAGGGAGCTGAATAACGTGAACATATATGTCGATACATTCGTGGGATCGGGAGTAAATAGACACATTTAAAACATTTGTATTTTGTAAACAGGACTGGTAATCAGAAATTAACTGCAATGGAAACCAGTTGATTTAATGTCTGTGTTGCTAGCTAACTTTTCGCATTTATATTAGCGTTACTTCTGGCATTCTGGTTTGCTGCTGTTTTGACTCAGGCAATACTTCATTGTAGCCTTCAAGGATCAACCGTTTGAACTTTGGGATCTACGCAATCTCAGCCTCCTCTCGACAGTGTCGCAAAACTTTCGCAGCATCTCATGCCTTGAATGGAGCCCTCGGTCAGCCTTACGGCGTAAACATTCCGAAATGGGCGAAGAGGCTGGCATAGCTTCGCCGCCTAAACAGACCGAGCCCATCTTCCTGAAGCCTCCAGCTAATGATCAACAAGACACACAAGCAGTTGAAAATGGAAAAAAAACTAGCAAGGGACAACATCAGCAATTTGTAAAGGAGCACTTTCTCGCGATCGATGCCCAGAGCAAGGTAAAGAGTTTCAACACTTTTTAGTGGATAGGTTCCTCGAGCGTTACGCCAAATACTACCATGACCTAATACTTACTCGTTTAACTAATTTATTTAACTCTTGACTAATTGATAAGCACTATAGAGTGGTGTAAGAGAAACGTTTGCTTGTCTGAGTAAGCGAGTGGATATCACTGTAGTTAAACTCACCCAACAATCTTAGACTTTGGAAAATGGAGAGCAACATTATACGAGACACTTTTTTCGTTATTGTAGGTCTGCTTCTTCACTGTGGAAGGATCTGTGTTAAAAAGCAATATGCGCATACTTGTGCCTGTTTCTTCTGGTTCAATAACATGCACGGCGTGGAAGGCAAGTGTGATAGGTTCGAGTTGTTTCATTCTAATGCTTAGTTTATGTATCCTGGGTTTATGCAGTTCCTTGTGAAAAACGTATTTAGCCTGCTTCAGACTTCTGTCGTCGAGATAAAATAGTAGCCAAACAAAAGAAAAAATGTCTGTACATCTCCAACTCTAAGCTTTTGGATATCGGTTACGGTAGGCCGTTAGCAACGACGATAATCTTATGATGATCATAATGATGACGAAGGTTAGAGGATTCAATCAAGTCAGTATGTTGCTATAGGACCTATCATAGCTACATCTCGTGTAAGATAACGCCGTGCAAATGTCTCAATCGCTAAACTGTTAATTACTGTGTGTGTCACCGTAAAAATTAACACGTCCATTATATATCAGACAGCATGTTAAATATGTGATAATTATGGCAATAACACCAGTATGCATTTATTTTGTGCTCAAATAAAATATATATTTTTTCTTAAATACAATACCATTAATTTATCATTCTGTTGTACGTATGTGCGACTCAATTGATAGGCTGACAAATTAGTGCTAGGCGATTCAGATGGTAACCTGTCGCTCTGGGACATAACAACTAAAAAAAGTGAGACCACACCGTCGCAGCGCGGTGCCGTCCGCAAGGTGGTTTTCGCTCCTGGTAGGGGAAACATGAAGATCATTGTTTTGTTCCAAGACGCAGTAGAGCTATGGGAAGCAACAGCGGATCATACGGTATGTTCAGGATAGACAAGTTTTTTTAAACACTTCATGGACATGAAACGATACCAAATGAGGTATATTTTAATGTATAAGTTCGAGTGAGAGCTCATTATTGCAGTATATCGAGAACGATTCTTTGCTATTAGTATCTCCGTTGTGTGTTTGCTCATTTCGTAGATGAATCGTCTAACATCATTGAAAACTGGCCGAGGCGAAGTCTCACATGTAGATTGGGCCGGCTCTATGCGACCTCTTCTTGCCTGGGCCAATGGCACAATCACCATTATGGACATGGAGCTCAAACCGCATCCAGCAAGCTCGATTGCCGATTACTTCTTCGAAGAGATGCCATTCTTGCCAGCTATCCTCTCGCCAAACTCAGCGTTGCATCTCAAAGCCATTTTGCAACATCTGCCGTGCAGTCAACAGGAAGTTGATCCCCTGGCTGTCATGTCATCACTGCGAAGTTTTGTAAACAGCGAAGATACGGCTTTAGCGCGAAGCATGTTGGCCGATCTAGAGCCCGAAGTATGGGAGGCATTGGTAAAGGCGAGCGTCGCTGAGCGCGCACTAATTATTGCCAGGTAATTAATGCTAAGCTAAAATACTAGGATACAAATAGCGTTTTGATCGCAATCCTTCGGTGAGATTACGTTCATTTGTTGAAGCCTGATATATAAGCAAAAGCAGGCTTGCAATATAGATGGATTTAGAACAGTGAGGAAAAGTCAGACTTCCAGTTCTAGAGGGTCGTAGGCTTACAGTGAAACAGCATCCGTTCCAATTAGAAATATATTTTTGTTTTTACTGTCTTTAGATCTACGTTATTTTCCATTGTCGCTATTTTGTAACTGTAATGCCATTTTACCATATGCTACGTAAACATCTAAAACTGAGGATAGAACCTGGCTTCTAGAACACGACACTGATAAATATACCACTAGTTACTACAGTGCTAGCTGATTCAGTCGACTTGATTATAAGGGCCACACCTGCAATGTTTTATTACGCCTGCGCATAATCTTCATGGGTGCTAATTTATCTCAGGCTATTTGGCGATGATGAAGCTATTCGTTTTTGGACCATGTTTGAGTCGTTGGTTGATCCGGTTAGAAGAAGTCTTCCACCGTCCTTTGATCTTCTTCTACCGCAAAAGGAGTACCGTCGAACACAGCTATACCGGGCGATGCTGCACGAGAGTAAACGAGGAAGCAATTACCAGGTAAGCATAACTATTGTTTTCAGGCGAACATCATAAACTGAAAAATATAAATAATGTTCAAAAGCTAAATTACGAAAAAAATTTAAATTGGGGGAATTGTCAAACAATACGTATAGATGCAATATTCTGTTTGTCCGGTTCTGCAGGGAATGAAGGTAAAGTTGTTACTAATCAATCAGTATATTAGAATCTTAGAGCGAAATAGCTATGGGCTACTTCCAGTTCATTACTAGACATTATACGAAGCTGATCGAGTTCGTCTTTGATAAATAATAACAATCTCTTGTTCTTGGATACATGTTAATATAGCTCACACAATGTTGCCTTGACGAATTTCTTCTTCTGGGCGATACTGATCGAGCTGTGCAGTTGCTGCTTGAAACGGAGCCGCCGAACCCACACTTCACCCATGATGCGCTGAGGTAATTTCAATTTAGACAAACTCTGTATATTTATATACATGATGTGCATACGTCCCAGATGTGCTAGAAGAACTGCTTGAAGTAAAGGTACAAGTTGTTGGCTGACATGTTAAGAAGGCTTTCGCCGTTGTTTAGTTGGATTTTGACTAGGATTCAACTGTACAATAGAGAATACGTTACAAAATGGGTGTAAAGATATTGCTTTTACATTAAATCAACGTCACATGTTTAACGTCGGGTATTCGCGCCAGGCTTTAAACACAAAATGAAATGTGTTAATGCGCGGTTTCGAATGGATTACTTACCTTACGTTCAGTGGCAGAAATGGTGGCAAACATATTACCATTGAACCGCCTTTTAATATCTATAATATAAGAAATAAATCATCATCTTCTTGTATTCCTTTAGAAAGTTTATGGATGTATTTATTGTTATGTCTATATGAGCCTATTTGAATGACATATCTTCCTATTTTTGCTGCTTATGTTCTTGTTGATCTATGGGTTTCAGAGCTTGCTTAATCGCTTGTCTCAAAACAGAGAACGCGTCACAGTCTTCGGTGGTGAAGCTCGTGGCGACCAACCTGATCGCGTCCGGAGACACTCAGCTAGGTGTACAACTTCTTTGTGTAATCAACAAAGCCCTTGACGCTTGTAGATACCTACAAAGTAACGCACAGTGGGATAAGAGCGTATGGCTCGCCAAGGTACGACCTGTTATGGTACCCTTCTAACGAACAATTAGCAGGTAGCATCTAAAATGCAATATGTATGTCAATGAAACTATATAGACAGCACAGCCGACTAGGAAAAGACAAAGTCTATGGGCTAGAAAAGCGATGAAACGGCGGATGCGGGTCGAAGACTGCAAAGTGACGGTCAAATGGCGAATGTTGCGTATTCATCTTGAAGCTTATTAGGCAGGCGATGGACGTACATATTGTAGCACTTTATTTGATGGAACTTTATAAACTGTTTAATATATTTGGGCAACCACGTCGTCTTTTTGCTCGCTGGCTTACCTAATTAATTTTTCGCACACAGACGGGTGAAGGTATTAATATTCCTTATAGGGGTAAGTGATTACATACATTGTATCATCTTACCTTGTTTCGATTTCATATATATACTTATGTACATCGTTATGTGAAGTATCACCTATTTTGATATTACATATTTCAGAGATCGGTAAGCTATATTTAATATTTTGGGTACTTGTTGCTACTTTCCGAGGTGTTGTCTGTCTCTTAGTGCGCCTACCTACGGGCGATATCCTGACAGACTTTTTCATTTCGTTAAGATTGTGGTTAAGTCATTTTTATTTAATAGAGCCGAATTAGCTAATAAATCACACCTTATCACTGCATTACGAGTACTGGTGCCGTTTTTCAGACCTTCTGGTAAAGCCAACGAAGAGACGTGGCCCAATATTCAGCGTAACCATATATTCTATTCGGTTTATATTTGCACCGGTGGTGTTTCTGGTAACGATGACAGTCTTTTGAAGCTTACTTCAAGAAGACCAACTCGCAGGAGAATTTGACGTATTTTGTATAATACAGCATGCGATACTAATTAGGCCCCTTTGTAATTCGAGGTCACTATCGCCGTTCGGGATCAAATACGTTACCCACTAAGCTATCATTAGGACTAGGCCCTCCTAACCTAGTGTGTATGTACAGTATGTATACATGTTTATATATGGCTATTACAAGCGAATTCTACAGGGAATTTGAAATTGAATGGTAGATTTTGAGAAATAAAAACTCTAAGTATTTTTATACTAAAAAATGTTTTTTGCCCCACTTGGAATAACTCAGTTTTCACTCATTAGGAGATTAAAGTGTTAAAGACCAACAAAAAGGTGATTAAACGTCGGAATAGGAAAAACAAAAACACATTGCTGCAATTAAGAGGGCTTTTGACGAAAGCAAAATTTGGAGCCTTGAAGTGGGACCAGGCGAGAAAATGGCGTCCCCGTGGAAAGGCAGCGATAGGCATCATCGCCATGCCTTTATTACTTCCTAAATTAAACAAAGGAATATTCAAAGTTGATTTTAAGACACCTATTGTCCCGATCTAGCTTCAAGTGACTATGGGACCTTTTATGCCTTAAAAGGGCCAGTGGAGGGCAAGCATATCCCATTATCGATTCACTCCGAAAAGCCATAGATAGAAAATTACATATAGGAACACTAATTGTAGATATTTGGTTTTCCAGAAAGTGCTGGAACGGTCAGGCGTGTATGCAAAGTGACAGAGAGTACCTTTATTATATAGTAAAAAAGCATAACGCTAGTTTCAAGGTTATTTAAAAACGCCCGCCGAGTCTGCTCCGATATATATATATAGGAGAGCACTGGTTCATAACACATAGTACAAAAATCAACACCCGTTTCTTTTTTTCAACCTGTTTCATTTAATCGGGTCGTTTCTGTTCATCAGTGTTCACTATCACGCGTCGAGCAGTGTGACGTCGTGTGCAAATGGGCAGAGCATCTATCGCTAGTGGCGACTAATCAGCGCACGAAGGCTGCGGTAGCATTACTTTCAGTTGCGGAGGTGGGCCGCTGTATTCAGCTCCTGGCAGCAAATCAAATGCTAGAAAGAGCCATGTTGCTGGCTGATGCAGCCGAGGAAGCCGGACTTCAGATTGAGTGGGACAAAATAAAGGGTAAGTAGATAACAGACGAACTGAAGGTGAAGACAGCCCGGACTTATAAAGACTCTGACAGTGTTTCAGTCTTGCAGAGCTCTTGTGCGTTTGTATAAGTCTTCTGTTCCTAGAGTGTATGACCTAAAAACTGCTTGGAGTTAAACCATGATCCCGATAATAGAGCAGGAGCTGATATTCCGTACTTGCTCTACTAATATGTCTGTACCATATATAATAGGCTTGGTCTGATGAATGATTAACTGTCGTTTTTGTCTTCATCATTGGATGAACGATACAGTGGAATGACAGAGTATATTGACTCACGTTAACATGTTATTTGCTCGTTGCAGAGGAATACCGCCCAGCCGCTCTTCGACTGAAGTACGCCCGATACCTACACGCAATAGGAAACTCTGAGGCGGCGCTATCCTTCTGCATGAAGGCTCTCGACATGCCCGAAGCTGAGGATCTTAAGAAAGAGATTGAAATTATTCTCGAAGATAGCACATCACTGATAGCACATCATCGTCACCTTCAGTTAACGCGACAACGTGCGTCTTTACGTCGAACTCCACACTCACAATTAGCACTTATTAATGATTAATACACACTTTAAGCGGCGTGACGCAACGGCCAAATAGAGGGGCCGCTAGTGAGCACAGGATTGCAATAAATACATTTTAATGTGTTCGTTGCCCTATGTCATATGCATATACACTTAGCACAAAACTATTAGTAGCGTTATGGCATGAAATAAGAAAAGGGAGATGAGCCGTCACCGTTGGTCCTTTTAGTTATGTCACCGAAGGATGGAGAGGACAAGACAAAAATATAACATCTGGATCTAAGCGAAAGAAAAGGACGTCCTAAGAACTGATGGATTAAATTCATTGAGAGTACTTAATAATATTGAAAGATGATTGGAAGCCCAGATTCGTGGCACGTACTGAATTATTGAATAATTATGTTATAGACTAGTGAATATTGCTAGCAGAATAGACTTGTGTACAGGTTTGAAACAAGAAGATATATTTTCGTGGAGTCTAGGAATGGCACTAGCCCCGTCCGCCGTGCGGGCAGGTTACTTGGCGCCGATGGGAAAATGCGTCGTATAAATGTGTTTAGAGATGAAATAATATCACTATATATCATAAATGCGAGAAAAAATGGGTAAAACTGTTCAATCAACATAGAGTGGCAATACTGCACTTAGGTGTCTATCTATTGAATGATATAATTTAATAGGTTTAGTAAAATACCCGAAGAGCCCGTTAGTGAAGCGAGTGTAACCCACTTCACTGGCGCTTCGTAGCGATAGCTTTAGTTTTGTTTTATTGTATTTTTATCACATTATTCAGGGATACGAACGAAGCACGTGACGCAAAGCTAAACCTTCTATTTTGACCCTTTTCTAGCTTTTGGGCCTTCTTCAGATATTCGTTCGAAATGTTTTTTTGGTATATTGCAACTGAGGCAAATGAGGTCGGAAATTTCTGTTAGCATTTAAATAGTAAATCGGTTATGAAGATTATAGTTTTTTAGTATGTGATACTTGGTTTATATATATATAT